CTTATGAAACCGAAATACTAGTCCTTGCCGTACCTCTCAAGACCACATGCAAAGGATATACTGACTGAGCCTGTGCATTGTTGAACCAGCATTGACATCTTTATCATTGGAAGGTGGCTGGTCCTGCTGGCACTGGGGTTCAACTGCGCCGCACGACCACACCCTCCCTCAAAAGTACTGAGTTGCATGGCACAGGTCGTTCTATTCTGGGAAGGTTACATACTCCTTGATGCTGCAAGACGTTAACATGTATTTAGTATTTCTTGTGGGCCCATGGTCTGCCTGTGGAGCCGCTTCTACCATCGCATCCATCAACCACTTTGAATCTAGGCATCTCCTCAGTCAGGTAGAAACAACTCCACAACTCCACAACTCCACGCCTGGGTAGTTTGCTGCCTGAAGGCCTCGACAGCCCGGCGGGGCAAATCAGTAGCACATTGGGCTGCGGCAGCACCTCCGCTGCTTGGATGGCGAAAGAAGGGCTTTTGAGGAGCCAAGCGTTCTTGTTACTAGTAGCGATGCCCTTTGCTCCTAGTAGCGATGCCCTTGTTCCTAGTAGTAAGGCCAGCCCCTAGAAGCGTCCGATCGCTCCGTTCGTAGCGATGCCCTTGTTACTAGTAAGGGAGACTTAAGGGTCCGAGACTTGGAGGTGCTGAACGCGCCTCCGTGTGCAAGTGCAAAGCAATGCCATTTTTCCAGAACACCCAAGCGACCCTGTGAGTCAGGCCACCGGGCTGCCCAATAGCGCCTGAATCAAACTCTTTTGAAACATCTCGGGCCAACTCTCTACAAGAAGAATGAAAAAAGAAAAGAACATTATGCAAAAATAAATAACATCACAATGTCATGTCATGATTCTCGAGACATTTTGAATGCCGGCCAAGTCGAGTCTTCAAATCCGAGGGGCACTCCACTGTCAGGGCAAACACCTGACCAGTCAGGGAGGTCTTTTGGCCTTTTTGAAAAACCATCGGACGACCATTTAAATCAACCCACCGCCCTGAAAGACCATTCAGCACATCTTGATCCAAAACAATTATTTTAAAGCTGGAGACAAGCCAAAGTCTCCACGAGCAGAAACTCAAAAAATCACCAATCCGTCCTCACAGTTGAGGAAAGTCCCCAGATACTTTTGCGAACATGTTTCGGATTCCAATACTCTCAACAATCAACGGTGCAGAGCAGAGTAAAGCTTCACTGCATCGAATCTTGACTTGGCAAATAGCGCTAGCTGTGCCTTCAGTATGTTCATCAAACTTCGCAGCAATGGCGCATTTGATCAAAAACCAAAGCAAGTCTGTACAAAACTGTATCATGGGCGGTAAAGCCACATATAACATATATGTGCTTTAATCATCTTTAATCTGATTATCTTTATGTGCCCTCAAACCTGACTCGCCTCATAAAAGTCCAGCCTTGTAAGGTGCTTTCTGCATCACAGCGAGTGCCAGATCCTCCCTGACAAAGCAAAGAAAAAATGTTTCCATGTCTAACCAAAGAAATGTCTAAGCAAAAATCTGGGTGCAGGCGACAAGCCCAGCTTTTTTGACGATAAGCCGACAAGCCGATATCGGATAAGCCGATAAGGCGGAACCCGGCCGGCCGAGCTTTGTGGGACACAGCGGAGATCGGGCATGGTGGCGCAAAATTATCTGTGTGTTGTTTGGCCTTTGTGTTCCTTTCTTTCCTTATGTGTCTTCTTTTTTTTTAGGACAGGGTAGGCCGTAAAGAAGAGGTAGCTGCTGGTTAGTTACTACCTGGGACGCAAAATAGCTCACGCACTATATATTCATTTGGTTCCTAGACTTTTAGAAAGCATCGTAATATGCTCCTATAGCAAAAGGTTGCCGATTGCAGAGCCCACAAGTTGCGGACACCACTGTCGGCCAAACATTTCACAGAAACCTCGCATGCTGCCTGAGGCTAAGAATAAGTCCGCAAGAGGTACTATGAGGCACCGATACGCCGATAAGCTGATTGATAAGCTGCTGGAGGGCAGCATCGTGCCATGAGGCCAGTACTACGTCAATGAGCTAAGCCAATAACTACCGGAATCCTGCGGGTGGGATATCAGGTGGTCGATATGCCGATAAGCTGATAAGCTGAGAAACAATAGTGGGCAGCAGGGGGGCGGGTTTTCGGGCTATCTGGGAAAAATCCCTCATTGAAATGGGCTGTCAGTCCTGATTGTGAATCACATTCCGGAAATGACACAAATGGGTAAATCTAGAGTTGTCGAATGCTAGGATTCCTGTGCCCGGCTGTTGCTCTGTCAATCTGAGCCTTGGATATTGCAAGGCTTCCCGCCGCCGCTGCAGCCAGATGTTTGGCCAAAGACTTGTCGTGAGGCACTCTTCGCATGGCTTCACAAAAAGGATTCGGGATTCCAGTTTGATGCAAAGGATTGGTGTTTGCCTTTAGGCATGCGGCATAGGGAAAAGCCTAAGTGGTCATGTATTTGTTTGATTGAGTGCGTTTCTGGGCTGGACTTGCCTGAACAAACAACATAATTTCCAGAGGCTCGACAAAAATCTTGTCTGGTGACCAACATCTTGTGCGCTTCACGAGTCATGAGCCGAACTTGGCGATTTCGATTGTAGAGAAAGCAGAACAACTGACCTCTCAAGCAAAGGGTTCTTTTCTCTGGTGCATAGGCTCTACACCACTTGACAAGCAATAGCTTAGGTCGTGGACTTCATCGAAGGACTTGCCATCTGCTTCCTGCAAGACCTTCTTCAAGAAGAGGGCCACCTGCAATATCCCAGTTTCATTCTGAAGAAGGTACTACAGTATACTTTGCGACTTGATACGTCCGCGAAGGACAACATGAACTAAACAAATCTTTACGAAAGTCACCTAGCATTCCTCTGTGAGGTTGCCTCAAAAACATGATGTTGATGCTGCCAGTGGGTACTTCGGTAAATTAAAACATGGACCCGACGACATATGTATATATATATAATAGAATATATAGAGAGAGAGAGAGAGCCAAATAATTGCTGCAAATATTCACTCAAACACTCAGATTGGGCTGGGACACATGGGTAGGCCTGTCCAGCTTAGGTCCGGCCTTCCCCTCCTTCTGGGTTTTAGATTTCTTCACCTGGAGCCAGTCAGGCACAAGTCCACTTCAATATACGTCAATCCGAAAAGAATGGAATACTCCATCCTGAAGGGAAATGAGCAAAACCAAGTTCAGTGGTTCAGTTGAGTCAGGTCTAGGTGCCTGGAGTTGATGAAAAGCTAGTCAAATGGACATGACCTCTCAGTTTGTTTCAATCGTAGCTCTTTCACACTGCACTTTCTGGCCTCCTCCTCTTCTGCCTTTCCCTCGGCCTCCTCCTCTTGTGGAGCCTCTTCTGCCTACCAATTTCAAGCCCAAACAAGCATGGGGGTCTTTCATGAGCTCTGTAGCTTGTTGAAACTCTATAATATATTTAATATATATATATATACCCCAGTCATAGCCCTAAAAGTGACCACACCCAACTGACTCTCTGATTCTAAACATTGGCCTGTGTGTCATCATTGGCCATCATTGGTAGCAACCCCGCAACATGACACGACGTACTGGAGAAAGCTAGTCTGGTAAAACATGGAGCTTTCTGATAACATGGATACAGCCGCAGCCAGCTTTGATGCCTTTCAATCTACTCAGCAAGTACACAAGCGAATGGCCATTGAAAACAATGGTTGTTGTGCCCAGGATTTCAGCCGAGGCCTCAGGCTCCTTGGCAGGTTTCATGGGCTTCACGGCCTCATCCAAAGAACACAATCTTCCCAAGGTGTTTAAGCTGCAGCTTGCACAATGAACTGCCTGGAGAAGTGCCATAGCAACACAAGCAATTTTAACTTGCACTTGTAGCAGAACCAGCAATCAGTTTCACTTATATAAAGAGTCATGTTCGCTTCTTTTGGGTTCGCATTCTTCCATGTTTCAATCCTCGGTGGTTTGCCGCTGATAAAACATGCGGCGGCCTGCCTTTGAACCAGCAGCCTTTGCCTTTGCTTTGGCTTTGGCTTTGGCTTTTGCCTATCAATCTAGCAGCTTTTACAGGTTTTCTTCTAGACACACTGGGTTCCCTGAGACTCCTGGCTCGAACGGGCTTTCGTTTGTCAATTGACTGAGCTCGCCTAAAGAAGCCAAAAAAGAGGAAGAACCTAGAGATGAAAGATGCGGAAAATGAATGTAGTTTAAAGGAGCCTTAACTTCTTTTCACTACTCCTTGTGTTCCGTTTAAAAATTGTCTTGGAGCCTTGCCAGCCTTGGCCTCAGCCTTCATGGCAGCCTTGCTTTTGGCCTTGGCCTTGGCCTTCGCCCTGGCCAGCTACGGCTAACAGGACCACAGCTTCATGAGACGTTCATGTGTAGCTATGAGAACTGTGAAAGGCAACCTTGAGAGCTGTATCACCTAGTCTAAATCTAATAGCCAACGGCACTAACACAAGCGTTAAGAGCCTCAAATATATGCAACAGGCTGCTCAAACAGTGTCGGAGACGCTTGGCTTTTGGTTTCGGTCCCATTGCTGTGTGTTTCAGAGATAGCAAAACGATAAAATTAAGTCTCCAGTGGGATTGACATGGTAAGGAGTATGTTACACAACACCTGTGCACAAAACCTCAAGCATCATTTACCCTTAGAAGCCATGTCTTGGACCGAAACTGCATTGAATCCGAATCCTAGTCTTATTGCCCAAGCATCAAACTGCTCTGCACCTGCCAGACCGCAAGCAAACCTTTGGATGATGGCTCTTTCCGCAGCTCAAAGTCTGTCTTTGAGCAGGGGCCTTCGTTTCAGCCCCCTATCTGCACAGCCACAGTGCTGAGCACACCCGAGCTTCCCAATTGACAACTAGCAAGAAATGTGTTGTTCAAAACAAGAAAAGCACTGAGAGGTTGGGATGGTTCCGTCTGGAATAGTAGTCTACCATTTCTAGAGGCGCTGGATGACACCCAACACCACACTTGCACTCATTATCATTGATGCACATTCTTCCATGAGGCTAATCTAGATTGGGAGATTCGGTGTCTCTGCTTTCAAACATCCAGAGCTTGTGAAGATTTACTCGGCAGCACCAGAGTTGCTGATCTCTTCCAAGACACGGTTGGCAAGCCGGATCTTTCGTTCCCGAGCCTTGGTGCATCATTACAGCTGAGATGCCAAACAGGCCAATGTTCACGTTTGATCACTCCGAAGAATCATGAACATGGCTCACTACGAGGAAAACGTATTTTGTTTAAGAGATTTGTAGGTCCAGCCTCAAGCTGTCGTTCAAATGTCCACTTTCGATTGTATATATGTATATATATATTTTTTTTAATTTATGTGTGTGTGCCACCCTCTGCTTCTAAGAGTTCTACGTGTACTTCACTTCGACAAAGCAGGGGGACTGGAGCCGATTTGCCTATCCAGTCCAAGGAAGCTATGGCATTTCGGTGGATGAGTGGTCTGATCAACCACTTGTACCTGCGACCTTGGAACTTTTGCCCACGCTGTGACTCCACTTTTCCTTCGGTTTGCTTTCATGGCTCTTCCTCACGATACTACCCCCAAAAAGGTTTCCCTCCGCAGCTTTCTGCCGCTTTTGAACCGCCGTTGAATTTCCGCAGATGTGCACCAACATTTATTGAAACACCTTCAAGTGCACCGACGCTTCACCTTTATGGTTAACTGAAAACCCTATGACTAAGTGTGCGCCGCTCTGTCGTCCCACTGGGCGCAGAATGTGATCTCCCGCAAGGGAGCGCTGAGACCATTGGGAATCACATATTGGTTTGGCGTTTTTGCACTTGTGAATCAGGTTACTGGCTCGTTTCTGTCTCGCCCATGAATCCTCGGAATCCTATGTTGCCGACCTACGGAGATTTGACGCCGCCGGGCCCACGGAGTTTCTCCCGCTCTCGTTTCAGAGCTTTCGCGGTTCAAGTCTTTTGACGCTGGCATCCACGTTCGTTCATGTACTGTTACAGGTTTGGTTGGCCAGCTTCCTGACATTTTCACGACATCTCATGTACAACTAGTTTCACTTGTACGCTCCGATGGACGTTCAATCCACATTTTGACTATGTTTTGATGCGCTTCCATTTTTCTACGTTTTGATTGTTTTGGTAAGAATTTTTTCAAGATTGTCATCATCCTTTCTTGCACGGCGCCGATCCATCGCGCTGCCGCTGCCACCGCGCTGCTGCTGACGACAACGGCGAGTTGATTCACTTTCAGCAGCATGCACTTTTCCGTGGCCGTACCCCTATGCACCACAGCCACCACCAATGACGATGTTCCACAGCTTGGTCCAGCACTGGCAGCAACAGCAATCAACTCACACCGTCACCATCGACACCCAAGCTACGGGCAATCCGCATCATCACTCTCACATTGGACGCCGTCACCACAGGCATCCTACACAACGCACCCTTCACACAGATGACATCACAAACAGTGTGACCTTTGCACTCAACACATGTATTTTCCGAGCACGCATCCCACTTAGCAGCAGATCTGCGGCGCCGGGATTGGCTCCCAGCTGTCACCGGCCCTGCGCAACGCGGCTATCACTCTTATCGAACACTCCTGGCAACAACTCCACAACAACCTCCTACACCACATCCATTTCCATTTCAACTGCTACCGCTACGTGGACAATCGTTTCATCACACACAACGAGCATTTCCTCTCACATTCACTGTCCAAACCCTCATTCACCACGACTTCTTTGGCGACCCCGTGGAACTTGAGACGGTTGAAGATTACCGCCTCCTGGGGTTCAACATTGATCTTACCCAACGCACAATCACATCACTTACATCCAACCCACCCAATCCTGGAAAATCCGGGGCGCAGCCAGCGCCGGTAGCAAACCACTCTCCGGCCATGCCTCACGACTACGCACCGTTTATGCCTACACTTTCCCAGCAACAGCGGCAGATGCAGCAGCTGAACAGCTTGTCCACCTCCCTCTATGTCCAAAAAGAACACGCAGCATCCGACTGCAAACGATTTTTGAAGCGACCAAAAAGACTGCTCTCGTTCTTCGGAGCGCCGCTACGCGGCTCTGTGTGTGTGTAACCCTTGGAATCACAAGGAACCCTTGGGTTTGGAGCAGGGGACCATGGCCAGATACATCGTCGCCGGTCAATGAAGCTGGCGATGTATCTGAGGATATGGAAATGGGACGCCATTTCCACGTACCTGCTCCACTATTCAGGAAAACAGGAGGAAATGGTACTCGACACACTTGTGCGTCGGCGCCTTTCCTTCTGTTTTCCTCTAGTCTACTCTATAGGTTTAACGAGGAGGACCTTTAACCCGAACTTTTGGCCTCTACCCACTAGAACTGGCCCTCACCTTTGGCTGTCTTGTGTGTCTTGTGTTCTTGTGGTTCTTGTAACCTGGTAGCGCTGGCCTCCAACTTGGTACCATGGCCTCCAACTTACTAGCGACGACCTCCAACTTTGCTTCTCGCTGTCACTTTTGTTTAACTTTGCTTTGCTTGCGCCTAGCGACGACCTCCAACCTTAGGCGTCGGCCCCAACGGCCTTGCGATGGCCTCCAACAAAAGGCGTTGGCCTTTAACCTACTACTTGTCATTTCTGTTTTGCTTGCGCCTATTGCCCACCACCTACTAGCGACGGCCTCCAACCCTAGGTCTTGGCCCCAACGGCCTTGCGATGGCCTTCAACCAAAAAGCGATGGCCTTTAAGCTACTAGTTGTCCTGGCACCTCAGGTTTTTTAAACTCAGGCTGGCGCGCGGCACCGCATTCACATCAGTACGCAAAATCATAAGTGTGCCTCTCCCTGTGGACCCGTCGAACGGGCGTTAGTCTTTATCTCCCCTGCCCGGAGATGTACGTGCCCAGAGCGGGCGTAGGTGGCCTAGGCCGAGAGATTTACAACCTTTGTCTCATTGTCAGGCCGTGCCCCAGGTAGTTCTAACTGATCCCGTTCGAGTTCGAGTTCAAGTTCGAGTTCGATGCGCGAGATTGCGTGGATCGAGCGAGAGGGGGGTGGACCAGTTCGAGTTCGAGTTCGAGATCGAGTTCGGATCGACAACACAATTATCGAGCCGGGGGGGTGGACAAGTTCGAGTTCGAGTTCGAGTTCGGATCGACTACACACTTAGGGCCTTGTAACGGGGGGTGGACCAGTTCGAGTTCGAGTTCGGATCGACACACAACAACAGCAACGAGAACCAACAGCAACGACAACAACCACAACCGCAATCGCCACGACCCACAACACAGAAGAAGAACAGGAACCAACCAAGCTAGCAACAAAGCAATCAACCTGTTGAAAGTATCCGCGCTGCGCAGTCTCATCTTTGCAGCCAACACTTGTTTTATTAGGATCTGGTGTGCTGCTGGGGGGGGCGCTGCGCCCCCCCGAACCCCCCCCGCGCCACGAAATCTGCACTTCCTCTCCAAAACCCGCGCCTGCCACGAAATCAACATTTTAGTGTGAACTCCCTGCCGCAAAAACCCTGCTAACCAACCAACCAACAGCCACCTGCCAGCGGCGCCAGCAGCAACCAACCAACTGACCACAACGTAGCATCCCTTTTGTGGGCCATCCGAGGGTAAAATTTAGAATAGGAAGAAGCCTATTGCAACGTGGCATGCCTTTTGTGGGCCACAGATACAGTTTAGAGTAGGAAAAAGCCATTGCAACGTAGCATTCCTTTCGTGGGCAAAATTTAGAAAAGGAAGAAGCCATTGCAACGTAGCGTGCCTTTTGTGGGCCACCCGAGGGTGAAATTTAGAGCAGGAAGGAGCCATTACAACGAAGCATTTCTTTTTGTGAGCCACCCGATGGTAAATTTTAGAGTAGGAAGGAGCCATTACAACGATTTACAACGTAGCATTCCTTTGATGGGCCATTCGAAAGTAAAATTTAGAAAAGGAAGAAGCCATTGCAACGTAGCATGCCTTTTGTGGGCCACCCGACAATAATATTTACAGCCGGAAGGAGCCATTATATTACAACGTAGCATTCCTGTTGTGGGCCATTCGAAGGTGAAATTTAGCATAGGAAGGAGCCATTACAACGCAGCATTAGTTCGAATTCGACTTCGAATCGACGATAATTTTTACACCCCGGGGGGGGAACCAGTTCGAGTTCGAGTTCGAACTTCGAATCGACGACAATTTTGACACCGGGGGGGGACCAGTTCGAGTTCGAGTTCGAATTCCAATCGACGACAATTTTGACGCCCGGAGGGGGGGAAACGCAGTTCGAGTTCGAGATCGAATTTCGAATCGACGACAATTTTGACACCGGGGGGGGGGACCAGTTCGAGTTCGAGTTCGAGTTCGAATTCGAATCGACGACAGCGATTTTGGAGTTCGACTCTTTCTATTCGTCCACTGGGTTGACTTCTAACAGTTCCAGTTCGAGTTCGAGATCGAGTTCGAGATCGAGTTCGAGTTCGAGTTCGGTTCCTTCCATATATCCTTTCAAGGTTAAGTTCATCAATACTGTATAACTGTTTCAGTTCGAGTTCGAGTTCGAGTTCGAGCGGGGCACACTATGCTCATTGTTGAACTCCAAGCTGGCTCATGCCTGTACGTGACCGCAGCGGTCTAAGCAGTCAACCACTTTGGCAGAGCACAAGGTGACCACAGCGGTCACAGTATCTTCAAGGTTCGTTGGAATCTGCCGAACGCTTAGCCCCCCTTCCTCCCCGGCCCCAACGGCCTTGCGATGGCCTCCAACAAAAAGCGCTGGCCTTTAACCTACTACTTGTCATTTCTGTTTTGCTTGCGCCTATTGCCCACCACCTACTAGCGACGGCCTCCAACCTTAGGTCTTGGCCCCCAACGGCCTTGCGATGGCCTCCAACCAAAAAGCGATGGCCTTTAACCTACTACCTCAGGTTTTTTTGAACTCAGGCTGGCGTGTGGCACCGCATTCACATCAGTACGCAAAGTCATAAGTGTGTGTCACCCTCTGGCTCTAAGAGTTCTACGTGTACTTCACTTCGATAAAGCAGGGGGGACTGGAGCCGATTTGCCTATCCAGTCCAACGAAGCTATGGCATTTCAGTGGATGAGTGGTCCGATCAACCACTTGTACCTGCGACCTTGGAACGTTTGCCCACGCTGTGACTCCACTTTTCCTTCGGTTTGCTTTCATGGTTTTTCCTCACGATACTACCCCCAAACAGGTTTCCCTCCGCAGCTTTCTGCCGCTTTTGAACCGCCGTTGAATTTCCGCAGATGTGCACAAACATTTATTGAAACACCTTCAAGTGCACCGACGCTTCACCTTTCCGTTGAGCCATTCCTTTCCTCGGGATTATGGTTAACTGAAAACCCTATGACTAAGTGTGCGTATACAGTGTGTGTGTGTGTATGTTTTTTTGAGGGTCGGCTGGGGCTCCGCACCCGCAAGCCCTCTCCGCTGCTGAAGAGTGATCTGTTGATTCCACCGTAGCCCGGAACTGAGAGTTGGAAGGGGCGATGAAGGACGTATCGTCCATGGGTTCCATCACGACTTACTTGTTGCTTGTTGGCTTTATTGTTTGTATCCAACAAGTGGACGAAAGTGGATGGCTCATGTGTTCAAAGAAAAAAGTCACCCATCGCCTTCAACTGTCTGTAGACAATAGATGCTCGTTGCAAACATTTCAGAAACGAAAAAGCTCCTATCCCTCGCAGCCTCCTATCCTCCGCTCTGCGTACTTGTCGACAATCTGCGGGCGCGGTTGAATTTGGCATGCAGGACACAGAGTCTCCAATACTATCTACACACTCACACAAGCTTTCGGGGACTTTGTCCCAAGTTTGAATTTAAAGCCCTTGGCCCTGCCTCCTTACTTAATTAAGTAGTTGCCCACTCAATTAAGTAAGGGAGCAGTGAGCTACTAGCAAACTAGGAAGCTCCTAGCAACTGGACGCAGGATAGCTCACGCTAATGATTTGGTTCCTGAATTTTTAGGGAAGCCTTACTGTGCCCAAGCCCAAGTGCTTGCAATTCCCTTCTCTGAGGACTTATTGCTCTTCATGCGCGACTGGATCTATTTGTTAGAGAGGATCCCAATCTGCTTTTTTTCCAGCTATATATACATATATACATATATATATATATCTGTTGCAATGAAGACTAGTCTCTAACAATGCAAGGCGTGGGCGTAGCTTCAGGTCAGTGAAGCAGCTTAAATACCACTGTGTATGGCTGCATTCAAAATCCGCACATCTTCCATAGCACTTTCTTGATAGTCATAACCTCTCAGCAAAAATCAAACGCGTTTGTTTGCAAAATGCAGCCGTGTTAGGCTGGAAAGAAATCTAATCTGACGTAAAGGATCTGCCTGACTGGCTCTAAGGACGTGGCCCAACAGTTTAGATGTTCTACAGAAATATAACTGACTAAATGATTTAATGTCCCGTTGGTCGCCTCATTTGGGTACACAATCGCTGTACACCTTTGCAAAACGACTCTATTGGAGCTTCCTCGTTCAACGTGGATGGGATTTTGAGGATTCTCCTCAAACAGCACACTTGGAAGGTATCAATCTTCAACATTGCCGTAAGATCGATAGTTTCAAGATCACGGCATCAAAGATAAGCAATTGCCATTTGACGTTTGCATTTGTTGCCTTTCAGTGCGGCAGAGGTCTGAAAAATGCTTTCCTTATATACTTCCTGCATGTTGTTCAAGATGTCGCACCACGTAACCTTTTCGGGAGCAGTTCAAATCTTGCCAAAGTGGACCAAGACATCGGTGTTCATCGTATCACCACGCACTTATCTTCGTTTAGTCGCAGACCATACTCGCATGAAACCGTTTCTGTCAGAGTTGTAGATATTCGTTCAAGGCTCGGTTTTCTAGAAAGAGAAAATAATGGTATCAGCATCTGCATAGTAAACCAAGTCAACATTCAGATTTGGTGTTCTTTCATTGTGTAATCCAACCGCTCACAAATTTGAAATCGACACAAGACATAACAATAACAAATAAGTAGCCCGTAACCCTATCTAATCCGAAAAGACCGCTGTTCATATTGGAAGGATGCGAATGCGTCTTTTGCAAAAAAGAGCTGTCTTTTGCAGCCAATCTTGAATGATATCGCAGTCATGCTGGCTGAATTCCCATTTTGCTCAATGCCAAAACAAACTTACCACGCTGTATCTTGTAAAATTAAGAAAGGAAACTTTTCCGAATCGAGGCAAAGACTCAATTGAGTTCCTGAGAACTATGGACGACATTAATGGCGTGAGAAGTGGACTGTGGGTCTAAACCGAATGCAAGATGCCAGAAAGACAATTGTGTTCATGGCATCTTGCATTCTCGGTCGGATGACCATATACACTTGGTCACTTTCTGCTTAGGAGCGAAATAGGTCTAGTTGTCAGCATCTCCTTGTTTGAGAATTGGAGCTACCTTTGCAATAAACAATTCTTTGGCGCCTCCTTATGTTACCACCAATTGTTGATTAGGTTCAGAAGGTGGTGCTGGTTGTCATGGTTATATAGCCATTTAGGTAGCTCCATTTGCAAGCCATCTGGGCCAGGTTGCTTACAGTAGTGTTTTTGGAAATATGTGATGCACTGATAAATTATTCAAGTGTGAACGGCCTTTTATCGGCCCCATTTCTTTGCAAGTCAAAATTTATGACAAACCACATTGTTCAAACCTGAAAGACTCCCATGTAGATTGACTTTGGGTGTGTACTGCTCCCACTCTTTCCCACATGCTCAAACATTCCAGTATGTTGCACACATCCCTTTCCACATACACGCGTGCACTGCCGATAGGAACGGAATGAATCTCGAGCCCCAGACATATTTCCTTCGAAGAAAATAATCCTCCATGTGTGCTCCTGCACAAGTGCGAAGAGCTTGACTAAAGGCGTCCAAATCATTATATAACCTAGCTGTCTCACATTAAGCTTTACACTACAAAACTTGCATTCTGCTTGCACAGCATTAAAACAAATCCAAAACTAGCCTTGATTTCCCAATGTGCTGAAGAGACTAGATCCATGAATCCATGAAGTCACCCCATGTTCTAAACAGAAGCAAACACAAAAACACGAGCCTCTTTCATCCATTGCATCAATCTCTGCTTGCTTCTGCCGCAGCTTCTCCTCAGCAAAACTTGAGGTGTCCAAGTCTGTCTGCAAACATTCAAAGGATTCTCACAAAATTCTCAAAGGACGATCAGTGACGATCGGGTGAAGGTACAACGCTTGTGAGGTCCAAGTCCAAGAAGTTCGAGCCCAAGGAGCCCAAGGAGTCCAAGTCCCTCACACGGAGCTCAGGCAGTTCTTGCAGTAGACTGAACCACTCTTCTGGACCTAAGAGGCTGAAGCAGCTTGGGCGACGTGTTTGATACCAGCCTGAAGTGGCTTGGGTTTCAACCGGGCCACAATTAGATACCAAAATCAAGCACACCCACCAAAGACACCGGACATATGGCATATTCTAGTACCTGGCCACCCGGCGCAAGAAGAGCATGGGCCGCTGGCGAAAGTCTGTGGCGCACAGCAAGGTCTCCGGCCTCAGCAAAAGGCATTTGGCAAGATGACTCGATTGAGAGAAAGGAGGTCATAGCCTCACAGTAGGTTCAAGCAAAGTTCTATTGTTCAACCAAGTTGTTTTTGCAAAGCATGTAAAAAGTTTGTATGATTGAACACTGAACACCCTCAGACACTTGCCCAGGCTTGATCTTGGCCAAAGTTGCCCTGGCCAAAGACGAAAGAAACAAGAAACAGATTGAGTATCAAAGGAACTCTGCTGGGCAGACTGCAACATCAACCGTTGTGTGTCATCTGAATGCAGACAGTCCAAGCGATTGTTCTTAGCCGTATCCTTTGAAGCCCTATGTGTCTTCACCTCAACAACTCCCTAGGATGGGCAACTATACGCAGCGTAGCCTGCGGGCAGCCAACGGTTGGTGCTTCTCCTTGCCACCGATATCTGCAACAGCCTCAAAGTCGTGTGATGACAAGTCTTCAGCAGTGAGAATAATATCCCCCAAAACTGCGCTTTTCTAGATGAGCTGGCTTCCACATTAAGTGTCCGCACTAAAGCACATCTCTCTCTTTCAATCGCCCCTGTGATTTCTTTCGACATCTTTGGACCAACTCCCCACATAGCGCGAGCGCTTCTTCAAGGAAGCTCCCCCTGCCACCCTAAGGGGGAGCTTCCTTGAAGCTACATAATTAAGTAAGACCTGTTTTTTAGAAAAGAAGAAACACATACATTCCTTCTCACTCCTGCTCCATGCGCCCGGTCCAGCCCATACGGCCCGTACCTCTCCAAGCATGGAGGCTGCATCTTCATCCCGCAACCACGCAGGTCGCAGTTCATCTTGGCTCGGGGCCTCGGGCGACGACAGATTTCGTAGGTTTCGAGCAAGTTCGGGTGAGTGCTAACAATGCATCAAGTGGATTCTCGTTATTAGCATTAGCATGCTACACATTCCTGGCTCAACAAAAAAGAGATGTCAGCTTTTCTGGGTCATCATAAGTGTTGCTTCGGGGATCAGGAATGCGGCCTCAATGACATGAGTCTTTGTGAAAACCAGAACATGTGAGCGAAAGAGAAGGGTCTACTGAATTGTGGTATTGCTTTCATAGCACTCTGCTGCCTCTATGGGGGAAAAATGGGTTCTTAGACATCAGGAAGTTGGTCAGGGTGGCTTTGTGAGACTCGCGAATGCTCTTCAAAAAAAACAAAACATCACTGGCTGGGCTACTGCACTCGAGGGTCGCCACGGATTTCAGTGCCTTTAGGGGCATTGTAGACCTCAAGTTCCGAAGGCCCTCATGACTGAAATATATCATGGAGGATGAGGGTGAACTTGGTGAAGCCATGACTTCAAAACTCTCTCATGAAGCTCTTGTTCCTAAGCGATGCCGTTTGTTACTAGTAGCTTCATCCGGTGCTTTTGTTGCCTGCGCTTGAGCACTGTCACCCATGGCCGAGCCGCGAAGCACTGTCTCTGCAGTGGCCCACGGCACGTCACAGGGCCCTAAGCAAACCGCAGTGCCTGGCCTTGCTGGTACATCATAGACTCTTGAATAGAACATATTGGAGTAATATGGAAGGAACATATTCACATATTAACGTATTAACATGTAGCATCATGTAGTGTTGGTATAAGGTTTGCAATGCGCAATGTACCTGCCCTTGCCCTTTGCACCAAAGTTGCAAAAGGCTGGCTAGGCTAGCAATCCCCAGAATAACGAACCACCGATCCCACAATCACAATCAACACAAATCCCAGCAAACCACGAAACACCGCAAACACACCACGCCGCCGTAGGGTCCCCCCAATCGCTTGAACGTGAACAAGTCACCACAAATAATCGCAAATGAAAAGACATCTTCAGTCATCACCACAAATCTGCAAGAAGCACCAGAAACAGCCACAAATCACTCCGCAACACCACAGCACAGCACACAAAATCGAATCACCAAAGCTACAGGGCATCAGCAGGCATCACCACAAAGCGCATACACGCAAACCCCAATCATCTCACACACACACACACACATATATATATATTATATATCCGCCGACCCCGGAGGCGCCTGGGACACCGCAGGGTGAAGCAGTTGGCCACGTCGGCAGCCCTCAAAGCCTTCTCGGCAGCTGGCAGGCCTGCCTCTTCTCTTCTTCTGGGCTTCCGAAAGCGACGTTA